GGCTTGACAAATGGTTCAAATGGTTCACGACGTTTCCATATTGTTTGCTTCATGTACAACTATAATTTTGGATAGTGCCAGATATCTGTTTTTTGAAAAAAAGAAAACAAACAAACAAACAAAAAGAAAACAAAGACAGTTGTAATTTAGAGAGACTATCTTATGTCTTCAATACTTTCTTTGACACCAGGGATTCCATACAGCCATGTATGCTTCATCATGGTTCTTGACGCTTTTTGCCTCTGTATTTCCTCTGAATGCATCATTCAGAATCATGGATGTCTTCATTTGTGAGGTGAGAGGTGATAAATGATTGAAGAATTTTCAATTATCAAATATTTCGCTTTTAGAACGTTTGCTCATACAAGCAAGTCAATTTACCCACTTTCAAGAACAAAGTCAGTGTAACTGTATTTAAACATTTCTGCGATATGGACTCTTTAAAAGTATTGGTTACTTTTTCGTTTAGGGAAGGGAAGGTCTGTTTCGTGTTATCATGGCAATGCTCACCCTTGGTCAAGATGAGATACTTGAACTTGATATGGAAGGAATGCTGAAGGTGAGTCAACCAGCCGTGCATTGGGCGCTCAGGTGATAATGGTAGTAAAATTTGGTCTTAAGACTCTTAGCTGTCCATGATAGAGAACAAAAGAAAAGAAGCTGTTAGCTCTCAGTCTTTTAATGCTGGTCACCAGCAAACGACTAATTTGAAGTCTGGTCAATATTCTTGATGTAAATCAGCGCTTTGGAAACGAGAGGTCCGTCACTTTTTGTTGTGCCTTTATCACTTAGCTGCCGATCGTTCAAGAGTAGGATTTGTACATTCTGTTTCGATGAACTTGTTCCAATTGGCGATGGAAATAAACGCCCAGGTTTAATAATTGTCACTTGTCGCCCAACTGGAAAAATTTTATTTCGGACCCTGCCTTATAAGGTCTCTTTGGCTTGGCAAGGCCGATGGGATGGCTCTGAGTCCCAACATAGAAAAAGTTAGAAAGACAGGTTTTGATAAAATCGTTAGATGTTGCTGAGAAGACGTAATTGTCATCTGTATGTATCCTCATCTTGTCACCTCAGCCACTGAAATCTTACAGTTGTACCATTATAACAACCGGTATCAAAGTTGATTGTTTCATTTTATCTTCCTTCTTCCTAATCAGTATTTTCAAAAAACTATGCCAGACAAGTACGAAAAGGACATGAATGTTCTGATGAAAGCAGCTGCCGAAGCCAAAGTGAGCACCAAGAAATTAAAAAGGTACATCCACTGGCAGCTGTGTCGACCTTAATAACTTGTAAACTACTGAACTTCCCCTGCCCACTCCCATTGGTGCCCTGGATATTCATATCAGACGCTCGCTCAGTCTATAGGGGTGCGTCAATCCAATTCCTTTCGCGCGTTTATGTTTTAGGCTGGAGAAGGAATACACGCGGGTAAAACACAAAGAAGCAGAAGACAACGAAGAACTACGACGATTGAAGACTGAAAATAGACTGCTGCTTCAGAGAATCGACGAACTGGAGAAGGTCAGTGCAGTTCGGATGTGTACTTGCATATATGATAACAATAGGCTAACTTAGGCACTTAACAAGTAACTTTGTTTTTCTTCACGTCCATTATCATTGTTGGAAGTTGCATTGGGTTACTGAAATTTTACTTCCGAGTAATGACGACAAATTTTTACTAAATCTGAGTAACCTTTTGATTTTCATGTCCAATAGGAGAGTGCCAGTTTAGCAGACAGATTGATACAGGTAACGGCTCTTTTTGGTTGAGTGTGATCTTGATAAAAATTAGGTTGTTATGCATTTGCCCACAGCTTGGGACAAAGACAAAGAAACTCACCGAGAATCAGTGTCAGTATCAATAAGTTCAGGCAAACACTACTATATGTATTTGTGAAGATGGTTAATCCTAAGGATGTTTGGTATTAGGTACGATCTCGGAAAAAAAAAGTTTTTGTACTATTGCTCACGGTTACATGTAACTAAGTTTCAAATGAATTTTCGTCAGATTTTTCTATTGCCGTTGTGGCAAAGTGTGCTTGACCAGATCTTTCACTTCCTACCATTTATCAATTTTAGGGTCAAATAACTCGAGCGCAGGAGCAAGAAGAAATTTACGCTCTAAAACGAGATCTTGTTGTTTTGAGAAGACACGATAATGCAACTGCTGCTGCACTTTTAGAAGCCAACAGACGAATAGAAGAACTATCCATGTTTAAGGTACTTTAATGTCTGTCGAAGCTCTGATTTCGTTAGCTTTCTGTACCTTTCACTGAAAAGAGGACATCACTAATACGCGAAAGGTAATTTCGTCCAAAAAAAATTGTACCTTTGATTTTGTATTCAGGCGCTATTGCTCGCTTAGTGATTATTTAAATGTGAATGGCCTATCGCTTACAAACGCGAGAAAGGAATGAAATCGTCATGCAAAACAAAGAGAGTTAATTGTGGAGAAACAAAAATTATAGAGAACGTATATTGGTCTTAAGTGGTCAGACCTCTGTGCTTCAGATCGTAATCTGAGGCGAGTCGTGAGTTTTTCATGAATGGGCATACCTACCTTTCGGTGTACAGCAAATCCTCTTTTTCCCAAATTTGTTTGGTCAAGATGGGAGAACACTGTAACTCCTTTTCTTGTTTCTCTTTCCATCTACGATGTTAGAGTTGCAAAAAGAACGCGGCCAACCTTGAACTCACCCTCACTCTATTCGCATATTTCCCAACAGAATCACATAATCAATGAGATGAGCGGGCGACAAGATGCCTCTCCTCCCTCCCCACGGGACGTCAAGATCATTGCATTGGAGGCGGAACTGGAAGAGTACAAAAAGAGAGAATCCAAAACAAACCAAGTGCTAAATGAACTGACGAGGAGGTCACGAGATTTAGAAAATGAGGTTTGTTTTTAAGGGATATTGCATAGGGTAATAAACAGGGAGATAAAGGTGCATTTAGGTTGTCATCAAAGTATTACTATCTCAGTCGCAGCGATGAGTGCTGCAAAGTTATCAAATCGTACAAAGCAGACAAAACACTTGTTCACGATTGGAATCAAAAGAATAAAGTAAACTTTACAAGCATGAAAAAAAGAATTATAACATAGCGCACGTGTTTGCCCAATGTAAGTCCTATTGAGCCGCAACGAACAAAATCTTTATTTACGCACGCCCGTGCGTAAATAAGATGACGTGAGCATTTTTTGTTCATTGTCGCTCTGTTCAGTATAAAAGAATTTGCTCATGCTTTTAGCTGTGCGTATATCGAGTTATGGATGCACTTGGGAAGTTTGGAGAGCACTCAAAAAGCTAGAGTTGCTCTCGGCTGCGCCTCGAGCTACTCTTACGCATTTTTCGTGCTCTCCAAACTTCCCGCGTGCATCCATAACTCGATATACGCACGCTAAGCATGAACAAATTTTTAATTTTACAGGGTAAAGTTACACCCTCGTTTCGAAGTGTAGAATAGAAATTGAAACTTCGACATCAATCGACATACGGCTGTACACGTCCCAACTTCTAGAATACCCACGAGGTCTTTTATTTGTTCATAATAATCGGTGATTTTACTGGTAATAGAGTGCTCTCTGCGGTAGAATCAAGTGTCATCGTCAAAATATACCAACATTATTCATAAAGGTTCTTATTTTATTTTATCAGCTACTCTACATCGTGTAACTTGCATGTTATGTGATTCGTTTTCGTAAGATCATCTTTTGCCTGAATCTCCAATTGCTGACTATCTAGTGAAGTGATGTTGTCCATTTTGTAGCTTTACCTTGCCAAAGAAAGTACAGAGGGAGCGACCGTTTCTCAAGTGGAGGAAGAAGTCCAGAAAGATGAAACAATTATTTGATTTTAAAACAGTTGGGGAATCAACGACTTTGGATGAACATGCTGATGTAATCAAAAGACGAGCAATGCATTACAGGGTCGAATCGTTTAGCTGGTGTGTTACTGAACCACACAAAAACAGTTGACCTCGTGTACAGCTGGAACATCCGTTTAATCATGACAATTAAGTCATTCGGCTTTCATAAAACTCAGTTACCTGGCTTTATCAGGCCAAAATTGGATAATTTATTTTTATTGACATGCAAAATGCTGTAATTTCCTTTCCTCTCTTTTAAATTTTCGTAAGGATAAACTCGTAATGGTCATCATCGAGACGGAAGAAGTGAGTTTACAAGTGTATAAAATGAAACTGTCTCTTGACTATGGTTAAAATGTAATGAACATATTTGATGATAAAAGGAATAATTATAAATACTGAGAAGCATTTCTTAATGGAACTAGAGAAAGAAGGATTTTGGAATAACTTTGTTCAATTTTTCTAATTTCTCTCTAGTTTTGGAATTTTTCTTCAGTGGCAAAATAGGTAACAAACCACATGAAAGAAAAATTAATCAACTTTTATCACCTCGAATCCTTTTGTTTCTTAAGAGAATTGTATATAGTAAAAATGAAGGTATCGAACTGAAATCCCTTGTTGAGATTGTAAAAAAAAGCGAAAGCTGTAAAAGTTATTGTGGAAAGTTGTGCTTTGTATGAGAAATTAAGGAATTTCAATTTTTCTGGTAATTGTATCTTCGATTTAAGAGTTCAAATATTATCAGAGTACCTTAAAATATTGATGAAGAGTATAGTCTACTGTATGGTTCAGTTTTGCATTTGTTATCTTTTTAAAAAGTATGTGCATGTCATTGGAAAAAGAGACTAGACCAGGTTTCTGTGGTCAATAAATACGGAAATTATTTCACGGAAAATTGAATTTATCACTTGGATTTCCTGTTCTTGATTTCTTCTTCGGTCTTCAAATATAAATCTGTATCCTCTGTATTTTTTAGATGAATGTTATTCATTCCAAGATAATTGATTTCAATATTCCTGGGTGTCGAAATCTATGTTAGGACTTCCCTTGCAATTAAGCCAATTGAAAAGTAAATAACTTTAGCCATTCTCTGGACTTGTCAGATAGTAGACACTCAAGTAAGACTCTATTGTAATTTTTTCATTTTATTCAATCTCTATTCAAGCACCTGCAAACTTTGTTCTGTGGAAAGGACGGTTCCTTAGTCTCATTACTTGAAGACCTGTGAAAGAAAGGAAATTCAAAAGTGAATTTAAAATTACTTGAAACAAACTTTTTCTTAGGCTTCGAATATTTTATATTTATCAAATTGACAGCGGCTTTCTTCAAAGCGCGCATGCTAGTATTTTAATCGGTGTAGGTATTTGAATCACTCCAACTGTCATATGAGGGCAAAGGTGCATAAACGTCACAAGCTCGGGATTTTTTATCCAACCGGCCTCTTTCAATTTAGAGTTAGGATGAACGGTTGGGGGAGGGGCGGAGGAAGTCGAGCACCCCTCCCCTCTCCTTCTAAGCCATACTCACCTCTCTAGGCATCGCACCCATATAACTCCACCCTCATGCAGGGATAACTCGCGTCGACAACGATGATCTTGACATATCGGGTCTTAACAGGATTGAATGTATTCACCACAGGTGTGAAATGATCACAGTTTCCCGTAAAAACCTGAAATGATAGAACGACATACGAAAGTTTTTAAGTACCGGACAAACTTTTGCAGGTACGTGGAATACTTAAAGTGCTCCAAAAGTGGATGAGTAAGAGACAAATTGCTTTTGCGTCAACCCGATGGAGGCAAAAAAACGGAAAACAAAAACAAAAGTTAGGCAAAGGAACTGGAAGTTAACTCGATAGCATTTGCTTCTTACCTTTTCCTTTCCATTTTCCTGGTAAGTCTGGAAGCTCGATCCGTCATTACTGAAAGCCAGCTTGTATTCTTTGACGTGCTCGTGGAAAACATCGCGCCCTTTAAGGAAAATTTAGATAAAAAGCTAAATATAAATTGAATACATTACCTAGCTTTCAGTTTCTGGATAAGATTACAAACTGCGCTCATTCGAAGGGCTCTTGCAACATTTTTTTCTGATTTTAGCGATTGAAAAATCTCGTCAATTTCATATCTTCAAAATTGCAAATGGCATCATCTTAGAAAAGCAATTTTCAAACAAGAATCGAAGGCGATCCTAAATTGCTTTAATTTAATTTTGCTTTTCTGCGTTCTGTGATGGGTCTAGAGAAATTGCTCCACCCACTAAACCAATCGAATGTTAATTGGGGTTTGTTAAGGTGGATAAGGCGCTGGTGTTACGTTCATGCACCCAGCGAGAGAGCTTCGTTGGTTACTGACGTGATGATTTGACAATAAAAATTTTTCAAAAAAGTGTTAAAAATAATTCGGGATTGCATTATTTTTGCTATACTTTGGTAAGTGGTTGGTCCAGAAATTTTACGTCACCTTCTCAATCAATCAGATACAACACGACTTGCCCGCGTTCTCCTGCACTTTGCGTAGTTAGTTTCATGTTTTAACTTTGAGTTCTCATTGCCTTTTAAAGGTATTTTCTTTTCTTCTGACCACGATAGGCCACGTTCGTTCGTTTTGGTCGTACGACACTCAATAAGAAAGCGCTCTATCAGCTTTAAGGTTTTTTTTCGGTGGATAAATCGCTGGCTTTATGAGCATTAATCCTCTTGCAAGAAAAAAGCCCGCTGACGGTCCCGGCCCACATGTTACAAATGTAGTCCATATTACCTTGTGTGGCTATTCCCCTTACTGTCTTGGTTTGACCAAGATCAATCTGTAGCCACTGGTTATCGCGATCCTCAGCGCACCAAGCTCCGATCCTTTTGTTGTCTTGGTCATCCTCAAAGTAAAGACGAGCATTGTCTGCCGTAGCTCTCCAATCGCCTGTACATGAGAACAAAACCAAACGAACGTAAAACGCAAACGAAAAAGGAATCATTTGGCAACAGAAATCCATTACGTGGTTCTCCAATCACCATCTCATAAGATCAAACCAAACGAACGCAAAACGCTAATAAAACAAGAAACGATACAGCAACAGAAACGCTTGTGTCTAATCACGACTTTAACTCTTTACTCCCAGGTTTGGTGCATTTATACTGTAGTTGAAATTCTTTAAACTTTTATAATCCTTCAAATCATAAGGGTGACCTGCATCCAATTTTTTCTTACAATGTCACCAACTAAAGATCAGAAAAGCTCTTAGTTGTTGAACAAATTCTGTTAGTCAGAACCTCAGGAAATGTCTAGAACAGTATGGAGAATATGCATACTGATGTTAGGGAGTAAAGGGTAAAACCTTACGCGTCATGTTACACAGAAAGTCACGTAGTTTGCCATTTTGTAAGTGCACGCCATGTATCGAGTGAAACAGAACAGCATAATAGATGTAAATCAATTAACGTTATAAAATGGCTGACCAATAAAGAAAGGAAAATGCGTTGTTCTAATCACAGCAACAATGGCAAAGGTGTGAGGACGATGAATATTTTGAAATGGAATTTATTATTTCTTACTCACCTGGCCTGTACTCTGTTGAAGCACTAAAAGCATTGTCTGGAAGTTTGTAGTTTCCTGGCCATCCTAGACCGAGACCTTCCGAGCAAGAACCTAGATCATAGGAAGGTAGCATTAGTCAGTGTCTTGTGTTTCTGAAATTTGGAAACAATGGCAGGCCTGTCGCGATTGTGCGAGGAAACTTTTGAGCAACTTTTTGCGATTTCAGCAACCTCGAACAATTTTTGCCTTTCTGAGCAATTTTTGAGCAACTTTAAGGTTTGGAGCACATATCAAGGACGATAAAGTTAACGATTTCTTTAAAAAAAAACTTTGATTTATGCAAATTTCTTGAATGTTTCGCAGGCCTAGTATCAAGCATTGGAACGGATAATCGGCTTAAACGACGCACAACTTTCCATGGATAGAGATAGATAGTCAGAAGCCGCCTTAATTGGCGAGCAACTCTGTAAAGCTAAGTTTATTATTGCGAAGAACGCAAAATCAAGAAATTTAGGAGGCAACCTTTGAAATTTAAGTAGCCACTTTTCAGATTTTTGGCAATTTTTTAGCACCTTTTTTACATTCCAGAGATTTCCAGCATTTTGCGAACACAATCCGGACAAGCCTAAACGGTGATAAGGTTTTCAACCATATATTTTACCGCCCCTACTATTTTAGCAGTTTTAAGACAGACATGAATTTACAACTTTGAATGTGACTGGCATATTGAACTGTCCGATAGCAAACTGTCCGATAACAACTTGGCAAGTGAACAAGAGGAAAATAACAATCGAGGAAATTGTGATTTTTCATGATTATACTGATAAAAATACTTTAATTATTACCTTTTGGCTTGATTGGGTAAGTGTCGCATCTTGTTTTGCAGCTAATGCGACAGGTGCTTTCAGTCCATCCATTGGTTTTGCAGTCACCACTGGCGGCCCACGATGGACAGCTTTTACGTTTATCAACACACATCAAGCCTGAAAAGGAGAGAGTCAGATACCCAGTGTTCGCTTTGCAGTGATTCGAAAGTTTTTATTTGGTCAAGATTTAAAGAAAATCATTTGTGTACAGATGGTGCTTAGTGATAATAGCAAACCGGAAATAGTTGTTCAGAAGGCAGGGATTCTCTAGGCAGTTTTTAAATTGCAAACAGCGAAACTGAATCGTATTTTGACGGTTTGTTTTCTAAACTTGTCATTTCTCAAACAGTATAACTTAATACTCCATACCTAAGATGTCTTTGTTCGGCAAGTAATTGACAGAGAACAAAGGATTTTGTTGATAGGAACCTGACGCCTCCTGTAAATATACTCTGTTCTTAATAATATGAAAATAGAACTAAAGGAAACAAGGAAAAATGAATGCACAAACCCGATCCTGTCCTGTTCGGCAAAGTTGGTGGAACGGTTGGTATCCCTGTGATTGGTGGATTAGTCGGGTTTGGTGGTTTGGGTGGATTAGTCGGTTTTGGCTCTATCGAAAAAAAAAGGAAAAAAAAGAAAGAGATAGAAAGAAAAGAAGAGGAAGAAGAACAGAATGGCGTTGGGAATCACTAGACAACTAATTCTATCAAAACATCACACCTCAATAAAGGTGTTCTAAAGAGCTCTTACTTGTACACTCGTTACAGTAGCCACAAGTGTGAGGACATTCCATTTCCATCTTGACTGGATCAGAACTGCATTCATCATTATCTGCACGGGTCTTACAGTCATATTTCAGATCGACGCAGTTATCTGTGGAAACGCAATAGGCGCCTTAAGAATTTGAAGTCTTTGGTTGTATCTAATTTGTACCCTTTCTGTTTTCTGACGAGCGAAATTGTAGAGAATTTTGGCCCCTGTTTGAGATAAAATGCATGAGACGAAGCTGATGATTAATCTGCCAATCCAAAAAAATTTTTCTATTAGGAGAAGTTTACATTTGGAAGAATTATCCATTTTCACAAAAAAATTCCTTTGAAGCACGCATGCATGTACCAGATGAGCAGAAATCACAAGTCTTTTTGCAGTGATAGATCAATGCCGAATGTTGGGAACAGAATCCAGACTTCTTCCAGCTGGCACAATCCGCTGATGAAGCTCTGTCGATACAAATCTGTGGCGATGGGTCTAAAAATTTAGAATAGGAAGTAGTTATTTTTAATTTATCCCTTTTTGTGAAAAACAAACGTACCTCTTTTCAACATGTTTTGCATTAGTTAGTGGACAATGGTGTCACGTCTTCTTATTGACCCCCTGAGCTGTCTCTGGCTAGACTAAGATTGTAAGTAAAATCAAGATTTTTCGGCCAATGCTTATTGTATTTGCACTAAACAATAATGAACATGACTTCGTATTTAGATCATCATTTACAAATATATTTGTAGAAGTGTAGTAGCAAATATCTTGAGCAAGGAACTAGGTTTGATTAGCTTGCAACCCTTTAATTAAAGAACGCGTAACGAAAACGATTCCCCTGACCCAGAAAGTAATAACACCAATGGAGCGACTGACCAAACAGAGGCAAAGAAAACGAATATTTTCTTAATTTTTTGTTTTTGTTTGCTTGTTTTTTTACCCCTCGTTATTGTGGGCGAGTCGTAAGCGCGACGGAGTTACAATCGCGAGATATCCTGTTTCTGAGTCCCGCCTCGACCACCAAGTGGATAGGTACTTCCAAGTTACTTCCAAGGTTATATGTTAGGTTGTTTATTTAGCTTTTGGAAGTGGAACATACCAGTGCACTTTTTGCAAGTGTTACAAGTGTGGGGACAATTCTTGTCCATGTAAGCTTTGTCAGATGAACACTTTCCGTCAGAAGCCCATTTTTTGCACTCGGATTTCAAGTCAATACAACTATCTGAAAACAGAAAGAAAAGAAGCGTTGGCATTTGTATGCCCTGTGTTACAGAAACAGCAACAAAAATTAATTGCAGAAGATATTTTATTCCACATAGGATAGATAAATCGCAAAGATGTGTGTTGATTTCTGTGTTGTGAATCTTTGTGACGTAGATAATCCAATCAAATCTCATCAAATATCGACTATTCTATTTTCCAAAAAGATAACTAATCTTAGTATTTTGGTGGGAGAAGCTAGAGATCTTTCAGATGTATCTTTTATACTTACTAGATGAGCAAAATTCACAAGTTTTTTTGCAATGGTAAATCATGGAGGAATGTTGTGTGCAGAAGCCGGCTTGCTTCCAGCCCTCGCAATCGACTTTTGGAGCTCTGTCTACGCACCTTTCTGGAGCGGCATTTGCTGGAAATAAAAACCAATGCAAAAGTTTTAAGGTTTTTTTCCTTGCATCTATCTCACTCTCTCACTCTATCTCTTGATAATATAATTTAGACATAGTTAAAACTAGTAAGAGGTAAGATATCATTCATCTAATTATGAAGATAGTATATGATCCAGCTAACTAACAAGACCTTATAACTCACAAGTTAAGTTCGGAGTTTTTATGTTCAAATCCTCAGGCGCAGAGAGCTTAGGTTTTTTTCTGTCTCACATGCACTTGGCACAATAGGATTTAGTCTCAGGTCCATGACAGTATGTGGTTTACAAGGTGAATTTTCTATTTATTTCAAAACCCGCCAAACGGTATGTGACAATATCAAGAAAACTTTCAGTAAAATGCAGCATTGAATTGATGGTTGTCGTTCATTTTATTTTATAGGAACTGATTTTAATTCAGTACTTAATATATTAATTGTAAAAAAGCTAGTTAAAGGGATCGCTTACCTAGTGCGTTTCTCTTAGCTCGACCTAATAACAGATGAATTTACAAATAGTTAAAAATTGATGTTCACCATGGTAGAAAATGTACTATGCGCAATTGATATTTTTAGCAAGCTGTGTATTTGGTTGAATAACAGAGAGCTAAAATTTGCAACCTGCATGATAAGCTTCTTAATCAAATTAAGATGGTTTAAACTGATTAAAACAATTGGTTTTCTCTAAAGAAAATCATCCTTGGTATAAGTATTAACGTATCACAATAAGGAACCAAAAGGGTAAACAATATCGAAGATTTTGTATATCGCAAATGACTATTGATCGATAACCCGATACATTTTAATCCTGTTTTCTTGCTTTTGTTGGTTTGTTTTTTCAAGATACCAGGCCTTTCAGTTACACCTTAAATTTTCGTTATTTCCACAAGTCATAGCATTGTGAGACAGTTACTAGGACAATTGCACATCCTGCGCTTGTAAATTTTCGTCACTTCCACAAATCATAGCATCATAATACACTTGCTGGGACAATTGCACACCCTGCGCACTGGTAAATTTTTGTCACTTCCACAAATCATAGCATTGTAAGATACTTACTGGGACAATTGTACATCCTGCGCGCTTGTAATGCGTCATCGTCACTGAGTTTTATATACGGCATCTTTCCGTTCAGTGGCCTGATAGGCTCCAGAGTCATTTTTCCATTTTTGGAAAAAGCAGTCCACGGGTAATGCATTATAGACGAGTAATCATATGGGACTCCATAGTCGATTACCTCCGTTCCTTGAACCTTCTTCTTGAAGTTGTACGCCATACCTAGGAAGAAAAAGCATTGACTTGACTAGTAGCAAATCGCCGTCCGTTACCTCGGAAGGTCAAGTTGTGGCCTTCTTTCAGACCATTCTAGAGATCGAGAAAGATTTTGCAAAATAATATTTTATCGATATTGCCGCCCACCCTTGCTCATCTTTTAAATGCCTTTTCGAGCTCGATAACTCACTGTCTAGAATGTTTTCCCAGTTAATCTTCAAGTAGTTGTCCCTATCAGGTCTGCTCTGCTCGTGCCAAAAACCTATAGCGTGTCCAAGCTCGTGGGTCATCACGTGCTTGTATTCACAGCCGCTTCCAATGGATAGCCAAGTTTCTCGACCAGACACTTTTCCAACCTCACACCAACAACTGTAGAAAAATGTGGGACGTTTAATGGTTTCGGTAAAGATCTTAGATTAAATGGCTTAATTCAAGGCCGAGGAGATTTTACGGTACTTATGTTTGTCCTCCAACTTCTCGTGTTATCACCTAGTTACCCATGTAGCAAATAGAAGGGACCCTTTCATTTGCGAGTGCTTTTGACTTACATGATCACTCAACTTTAATACCGTAACATTGGTATGTATAATCTCCATACTGTTCTTCACGCATTTCCTAAGGTGCTTAAGGGAGAAACTGTCTGACAATCACGAGCTTTTTGTAGTTGGTGATAAACACCATTTTTTCTTATGACCTTAAAGAGTGATTCAAGGGTGGTATTGTGAGGAGAAATTAGATGCTAATCACTCTTAGGGGTTAAAAGGTTAAAAGGAAGGAGCAGCAATATTCAAAGTCGTTTCATGCTACAGAAACCGAGATATACCATCAAAATCAGGGGATAACTGGCTCGTAAGACCTGATAAAACCCGTCATACCCATTTCCACGGTGGAACCAAAGAAACTCTGTCTCAGTCGTCCTCTTAACGAATCTTAGGCATGTTTTGCTCTCCCATTCGGCAATAGCTTCCATTGTGGTTCGTACCGCTCGATCCATGTTAGCTGCAAACAGATGTCGCATTCAATTGGTTAAAACATCAGCTTCCTATTTTCAATTTGTAAAGTCGATTCAGAATACTTCTGTTAAATGCAAAACAGATTAGGGAAAAGCTGGCTGAGATATATTGTCAGCCAGTATGGCCAAAAATTCTTATTCAGTCAACGTTAGGAAGAGACTGGATACTTTCTTGCTTCCTCTTAAACAGTTATTTGTTTCATTAAACCGCCCTTGGTGTTAAACACTCACCCACACTACAATCAAACTCATAAGGAATAACGCCATTGGGCCACTTTATCTTATCTACATTAGTTGCAGCGCGTCCTGGAGATCCGTCTGGGTTTCCATACAAAGCGTTGTTGAGTCGCTGCTCCTCTGAAAGCTTTATGTCTCCTTCGTAAAGATGCTGTGAGTCCGATTGGCGCTGTCCTTGACTCTCTGGGTTATCTGCAAAAGAATGAATTTTCAAACAGGAAGGGTGAAACAAGTTATTCCGTACACAGGGTTAATATTGAAGTGTGCGCAGAATTAGATGTAATCCGCGGTGATAATGAAACTTCTTAAAGTTATCATATCGAAATTTTTGTACTTTGTGAGTTTATTGAGAACCTCTCTTCGACTAAAAAATTTCACATGGTACCTTTTTCTTGTAATGCGACTGGTAAATAATTTTAAAACCATAATTCCCTTAAATTACAAGGGATCCGCTTGAATAACCTGTTTCGTGTGGCATAGTTATCTCATTCGTCTGTAAATTACCGCGACTCAATTTGAACGGGTGTAGCACTAATTCCTCGAAATTTGTTGATGCTGGGACAGATTTTTTAGGATATTGTCGCCTCTTTCTCTAGAAATTACATATTTTCCCTTGCATTGTATCTGAATTGCCTTCACAAGTTTGAGTTCTGTCTGAAAAATTTAGATGACAAAGGATAGCCTTCAGCAGAGCTCAAATTTAAACTTACTTTTAATTCCAAGATTTACTTCCAGAATCTGTTCGAAGGCTCCTTTCTCACACAGGCCTTCTTTGGCCACGAGGAAGGCACAAAGAACCAACAACGGCAGGTGATTCATCGATAAAAGGAAAAAGTCCTGAAATAGCATAACGTTTACCAGTTATCTTTGAATTCTCAGATATAAACAATTCAATGCATCTTCAGAGTTTACCACCTCAGCATAAGGAAGGTAATGCGAATAGGGAGTTTCCAAAAGTAACGGTCTGCTAAAGTGATTTGGTGTTTCCTGCAATTCCAAAGTACCGTATAAATTGTTGCAAAGATTTTTTATTTCTCTCGAAAATCAGACGGTAAGGTTGAAATAAATGAAAAAAGTTCCTCCACATTTGGTTCTCTAACATTTCGACATTTTTAAGACCGATAATTGGTAACTCCGTTTTCTACACTACATTTCAAATTTTAGCCAAAACTGACTTGAAATTTTCCAACTTACAACCAACTTACCTGATAGTTCACTTACTGATGAGGTACAAAGGTACCTCGGGACTGTTCAACGAAGAGTGACTCTGCTTGGCAGGGTAAATCCCTTTCATAGATGTTGTTCATTTGAACAGTTGCCGAACTGATTTACCTTCAAAAAAAACAGCGCTTTTCTCAGCTAATGCCTGTGTTTGGAATAGCAACAATGCCCATCTTGCCCGAAAACCTATTTGGCATTGTGACTGTTTTTCTGTATAAACACAGAGCAGATTTCTGTAGTATCGCGTTGATCTATTTAGGACTCTCTCTTTACTCAACTACAAAAGGAAACAAGAACTGTGTGCGTGTTGATATGTTAGCAGAGGCCGGTTTAGAGAGATCTTGTTTGTTCTTCCGACAGATCCTTTATTACTGTAACTGCCTATATCATGTTCTGGACTTACATCTTGCACAATTATTGAAATGAAAGGGAAAACATACGATTTTAATGCTGGAAAACTAACAAATTTGTGAAATATTTAATGTGGGTAGGAGTTAATTGTTCATTCTCGTGGTACTGTAACGAAAGCAACAAAACTTTTCACTGAGGCAAGTTGAAGATGCACTTTATAAATCGCATTGAATTTGGAACCGTTCACTCTTCAAATATAGTTATATCACGTAACATCTTCATTGCTGAAAAGTTCAAATTATAAGATATTTAGTGATAATAAAACGAAATATGAGTCAACTATTCAAGCTCTACCTCGTATTTGCACAGCCTTAGTTTCACGCGTAAATATGATTGGAAAAGGTAGACTTGGGTATTTGTGTTACCCTCTGCTAAGTCTAAGACAGAGCTATTGAACTCAAAGAAAGGCACACACAGCTGATGCACCGAGTAATCCGACGCTGGCACAAGCGAAAACACGACGTAATTGGGGGTAATATTGTAGAGGATTTCTTATCAATTCTCCTCTTTTAATGAATAGGCTAATTAGATATATTTGTACCAGATACATTCACTGTATGAACGACTGCTAATTCGCTGAAATCATGAGGAAGAGATACAATTAATAAACGTATTTTGCGTAAGAAAGACTAATGTAAAGCGAGATAAAATTCTGCAGTCTGAAAAGGCTACCTTTAAAGAAAAGTTACTAGTTAGTCATCGTTGTCTTGTTATATTTGATTTTAATAATACTAAGAATTCCCCTAGCTTTTCTGAAGCGGAAAGTTTACTGCATGCTGAAAACGAGGAAAAATTACAAGGTGTGAATTCTTGGAAACTGACCAGTGATTTCAGTTTATTTCTGACCAAGAACGTATTTTGCGTAAGAAAGACTAATTTAGACGAGTTAAAATTCTGCACTCTGAAAAGGATACCTTTAAAGAAAAGTTACTAGTTGTTTATCGTTGTCTTGTTATAATTGGTTTTAATAATACTAAGAATTCCCTTAGCTTCTCTGAAGCGGAAAGTTTACTGCATGCTGAAAACGAGGAAAAACTACAAGGTGTGAATTCTTGGAAACTGACCAGTGATTTCAGTTTATTTCTGACCAAGAACGTATTTTGCGTAAGAAAGACTAATTTAGACGAGATAAAATTCTGCACTCTGAAAAGGATACCTTTAAAGAAAAGTTACTAGTTGTTTATCGTTGTCTTGTTATAATTGGTTTTAATAATACTAAGAATTCCCCTTGCTTCTCTGAAGCGGAAAGTTTACTGCATGCTGAAAACGAGGAAAAACTACAAGGTGTGAATTCTTGGAAACTGACCAGTGATTTCAGTTTATTTCTGACCAAGAACGTATTTTGCGTAAGAAAGACAAATTTAGACGAGATAAAATTCTGCACTCTGAAAAGGATACCTTTAAAGAAAAGTTACTAGTTGGTCATCGTTGTCTTGTTTTATTTGGTTTTAATAATACTAAGAATGCCCCTAGCTTTTCTAAAGCGGAAAGTTTACTGCACACTGAAAACGCGGAAAATTTACAAGGTGTGAATTCTTGGAAACTGACCAGTGATTTCAGTTTATTTCTGACGAAGTACAAAGAAGGAAACAATTTGCGGTCATCCAAAACAACAAATAACATCAATTACATAAGTAGATACAAATGCTCTTGAAAATAATTTCTTCCTGTTTTCACGCAGTACAAAGAAGAACACTGCGTTTCCCCTGGCAAATAAATCACTAACAAAAACATTGTAAGGAGAAATCGGTAACGTTGATGTTTGTAAATTTTTCAAATACTCTGGGAACGGTCGCTTTTGTCAAATGAATACGATGTGAACACATGTAGCAATCTTAAACGAGGCTGAAAACGAAATATTTCCACCGCGTTTTAGCGCGAAAATGTGTAAGCCTTTAAGAATTTCGCTTTTTAATTCGCTCAAGCGTATAAGAGCACTGACGGTTTTATGTCACGTAAAAATACAACTATTACTTGTGGCGTATTGCGGCTTTCTCGGTTTGAACTCCATCCTAAACCTCACTACAGCTAAAATGATTAAGGTATGTATACTTGAAAGTCCCATTCGCTTTAATAATTGGTCACTGGCAAATTGTATGGCGACAGTTTCCCAACAAGGGTATTGGATGTTCAATGAGATATTTACTCACGTTGTTGTCTTGAAATTGAACTTCTTTCAAATTGTTTCTCAAATGGATTTAATCTTCATGTGATATTTTCACGGGATATAACAAACATAACTAAAATCGTAGCCAAGTTAGTGTAGACCTAATGGCGTAGACTTTAATTTTTGATATTTTACTGCTTTCCCGTCGACTAATCACGTCGCTATTTTCAAGCAATAACCTAAACTTTACGTTGCGAAGAATAATGGCTAGAGTGCCTTTTTAGGACGACGAAAGTTGAGATTTTTGGGTCATTGTAAAAATTCGATTTCTCATGTATTGCTTAGATCGTTAGGGTGATATTTACACATAAGAATGAGTAACGGGAAAGTTATCCTAGAAGGAAAGATGATGGACTTTATCAGTAAGAAAATAACAGGAGCCTCTACCCTGTCAACTCAGTTTTAGAGAGAAGACGTGCGAAATGCGGTTAAATTCAGTGCGAAGTCTACGTTAAAATAAGCAGTGAGAAAATTGAAAAAATGCATTGATATTTATTTTAGTAACGAAGAGCACCGATTTGAAATTATCGGGTGATTCTGTTTTGGTATTGACTTTTCCTAACAGGGAATTGTGGTTTTCATCCTTTTGACGTGCATTGGAGCATTTTGCCAACAATTGAGCGTGGACAAAGTGATCACCAGAGACGCCCACCAGTCAATTCGGGCACGTTCTCTTAAGCCAAACTCTCCATCTGGAAGATATACCGAGCCACGTCAAAATTACCGTGAAGATGACTGCTGTGTCACGAAGAAGATAGTGCAAAATGGAAAAATCAAGACTCAGTGTCGCAGCGAGCATCCTGATTGTTTCAGTAAATCAGATCCAAGAAGCCCGTATTTTGGGATGTGCGAAACTGTGCGGAACAGTCAAAATGATGTAGTTGCTTGTCGATGCGCTGCTCAAAAACGAGATAGTAACCCTAACTGACC